AAAGTTAAAAATTTTCATTTTAATAGCAACGCTTTTACAGTATAATTATACATAACATTAATTTTTTGTATCTTTTTCATTGTTTTTGTGAACCCTTTTAATCACAGAAGGAACACGTTAACTGTCATGCGCGAAAAATAACGCACGTTAATTTTAATATGAAGATGGTCCTACACACACTGTAATGAGAATATATGCGAAGTAGATATTTCTGACTTCAGTGTGCTTTTTTTCAGTGTACTTCATCATTTTGTTATGTCATTAAACTACGTTATGTGCAAAAGTCGAAAGCTTTGATCTTGATTTTTGTCACGTATTCACAAGATGGTTGTAACCGAATATTCTCTTCGTAACATTGTGTGTTGATGGTAATCAAAAAATAAATATTGGTGGTCAACGTATGCTTTAATTATCTCTCAATGTTTTCAATACTTATTTTTTAACTATTGGTTTATGTAGTTTTACAATAGAAATTATATTCTTGCTTTTTTTAATTAATATTTTTATATTTAATTAAATATATCTTAAGTGCTTTTGAGAAATTATTAAGATCTTTTTAAATTTTTGAAATAGAAAAAATTATGATAATATATACATTTACATAGAACCTTATATACCTTTATGTCACGTAAATGTATAATATTATATTTGAATAAATTAGTTATTATATTTAATGTTTAATCGTGGAAATATATTTCAATGTTTTCTTCATCAAATATTATACTTTTTATTAAAAAAATTATATATGAAAGTTTAGAAATTTAAAATTTTTAAGAACAAAAAACCAATGCTTTTAAATTTGAAAAATATTTAAGATAAAGTTTTTTTAAGATATTAGTTTCTATATTAAGGATAGATTGTATAAACTTAAAAAGGCTTAACTTGGTACCATTTGTCGGAGAATTTCATAACGTAGTTTACAGAGAGATAACATACTTTCGAGCTTATCCATAGCTTGTGCCAATGTTTAAATAAACTTTAATTCTGTAAACGCGCACTTTCCTCTGACAACTGTCTACTTTTCTTATTCAAGATTTCTGTTTAACTTAACGATCTATAAAGTTGCGTTTACTCGCATACATTGGTCGTTTATTTCCCGTTGATTAGCAAAATGTCACTGTGTTTATATGATTATTAGTGTATTAGAAATCACTCGATTGTGTATCGAGAAGTTTGTGTGAACCGATGAAGCATTTCGCGCATTATTTCATTTTCCGATGCAATTTGTAAACTCGATTTTGTAAAGGCAAGCTTGTACGTTTCATACAAATTTGTGGCAGGTAAATATTTAAAACTCAACGCAGTGTACTGCTTCCAAACTGTTTCGCTAATGCGGTTTATTTTTGATTAATTATAGATCCGCGCTGAAAACACCGCTACGTATACAGAGAGTGAAATACATCAAAATATTGGAAAACCGAAATATATCAAACATATAATGGTACATCTGTTAAATAAAGGAAATATTCTATAATATTCGAATATTTTATTATTCTGAGCTTAAAAAATACGTTAAAAATTTGTAAATTTTAAAAAATTTTAAATTTTAACGTAATAATTTTGAAAGCTTACTTTTAAAAGAAAAAAAAAACGTACATATTGTTATTTTATAAATCCCACAGATTTTTATAAAATTTGTTTTTTGTTAATGTTAAATAATTGATTTTTTTTATATTTATGAATTTATTGATTTTGACATTTTTCACTAAAAGCTTTTAAATATTTGATTCAATAAATGTCTAGAATAAAACATATTTTTGCATTATTTAGCATTGTAAAATAAACATAAATTAATATATTT